GGAAGGAAGGAAGGAGGGAAAGGGGGAGGGATGGAGGGAGGGAAGGAGAAAAGGAGGGAGGGGAGGAGGGATGAAGGGAGGATAAGAGGGAGGGAGGGAGGGGAGGAGGGGAAAATGGAAGGAGGGAAGGAGGGAAGGAGGGAGAGAGGGAGGGAGGGAAGAAGGAAGCTCACTCCCCTCCCAGAGTTGCTGAATCTCCCTATCCCTGTCCTACATAGGAGCTTAGAGAGCGGGTCCTGAGGGGCAAGTACCGGGTCCCCTTCTATATGTCCACGGACTGTGAGAGCATCCTCCGAAGGTTTCTGGTACTAAACCCAGCCAAGCGATGTACTCTTGAGGTGAGAGCTTTGGGCTCACCCTCTCATTTCCCACTCCACCACCAAACTCCTGTGTCTCTCCTTCTGCTCTTTCCTCCTTCCTGCTTGTATCTCCTCCCACCTTGACCACCCAAACTCCTCATTTCCCTCCCCAAATCCTGCCTTCATTAGCAGGGTGGGGGGTGAACCCCAGAATTCCCTGCCTCATTCCTGATTGGCAGCTTCCTTGGGACGACAATAATTAGCTAACGAGCTGTGGGGATGATTACAGGGTGCTGGGGGACCCAGACAGTGCGGAGGAGGAAGGGAGGGAGAGACAGACCGGGAGCCCTGAGGCAGGCAAGGAACGTCTGAATGGGGGAAGGTGCCCATTTGTGGTGGGGGAAAAAGGGATGCTGGACTTGTCTTTCCCCAATCTATCCCCCAGTTCACAGGCCAATCCGTTCCCTTCCCTATTGCCCATTTTCTGGCCCCCACAGCAAATCATGAAGGACAAGTGGATCAACATTGGTTATGAGGGAGAAGAGCTGAAGCCATACACTGAGCCTGAGGAGGACTTTGGAGACCCCAAGCGCATTGGTGAGGGCAGGGGCAGGACCTTGGGCAGAGAACTCACTCGTCTTAGAACCTGAAACTTTAAGACAATAGAGCTTTGGGTCTTAGGATTGTACAATGTCAGAGCTAGGAGGGCCCTTAGAACAGGAAATGTCAAGGCTGGAAGGAGCCTTAGAACAGGGAATGTCAGAACTGGAACCATAGAACAGAGAATGTTAAAGCTGGGAGGGTCCTTAGAACAGGGAATGTCAGAGTTAAGAGAGCCTTCAGAACATGGAATGTCAGAGCTGGGAGGGGCCTTAGAACTTGGACTGTCAAAGGGGAAGGAAAAGATTCCTTAGAGTGAGACTGGCTTCTCAGGGTTCTTTCCTAGCCACTTTGGGGACGTGAGGTCTGCAGTCGGGAGGAAGTCTTGGGAGCTGAAGGTCTGGATAGCCACGTTGACTCCTTCTCCCTCTTTCTCCAGAGGTGATGGTGAGCATGGGCTATACTCGGGAAGAGATTAAAGAGGCCTTGACGAGCCAGAAGTACAATGAGGTCACAGCCACCTACCTCCTGCTGGGCAGGAAGAGTGAGGTCTGTGGGAATCCAGGGGCTCCAGCAGCTGATAGCCCGGGGGTGGCAATTGCCAAGGAGGTGGGGTAGATTATTTAGGGGGAAGGGATTCTCCAGGGAGGGGGACTCACAGTTCATTTTATCAGCATTTATTAAGCACCTACTATATGCCAGGCACTGTTTAAATGCTGAGGATACAAAGACTCATCTGAAAGTCCCTGCCCCCAAGGAGATTACCGTCAGTTGGGTCTGGTAGGTGTAAGACTGAGGCTCATGAGGTAAGTAGGGAGGCAACATTTGACTGAGACTCTTTTCCCTTGTCCCTCAGGAGGGTGGGGATAGGGGCGCCCCTGGGCTGGCTCTGGCTCGAGTTCGAGCACCCAGTGAGGCAGCCAATGGCCCCAGCAAAAGCTCCAGCTCCAGCCAGAGCAAAGGCCAGAGGAGTTCTTCATCCACCTATCACCGGCAGCGCCGGCATAGCGACTTCTGTGAGTAACCTTCCTCCTGCCCCAACTTTTCCCATCCCGGGCCATGAGGCAGGAATGGCCCCACTGGGTGAAGGCCCTAAGTTCCCCTGGCTCTGCCCACAAGTAGCTGGTGACCTTAAGGATGTCACTTCCCCTCCCTGGGCCTCAGTTTCCCCTCTATAAAAAGAACCAGTTGACTCCTAAGGTACCTTCCAGCCTAGACTTTTTTTTTTAATTAAAAGAGGTGTTGATATCTTTCATTTTTAAAACACTCTCATTTCCATATATATCCCCACCTAGGGAGCCATCCCGTATAACAGAAAATAAAAAAGCAAGAGGGAAAAAAGGCACCAATATACCAACTGAGCCCAACAGTATACAATGTCCTGCAAAGAGGGGAGGTATAGCTTCTTTCTTCTCTAAGGCCAAAGTTGATCATTATAATTACACAGCATTCAGGTTAGGGTTTGGGGGGTTTTCTTTTCACTGTCCTTTCCATTTATATTTTTGTAGTATTGTCCTGTGTTGTTTACCTGGCTCTTGTCACTCCGCCATCAGGTTATTTAAATTTTTCCAGGTTTCTCTAGATCCATCACATTGATCATTTCTTACAGCAGATTCACATACAACAGTTTGTTTAGCCATTCCCCAATCAGTAGACATCTACTTTTGTTTCCAATTCTTTGTTACCACAAAACATGCTGCCATCAATATTTTGATATACGTGGGGTCTTTCTTTTTGGTCATTGATGTCCCTTGGGGTGTGTAACTAGCAACAGTATTTCTAGGTCAAAAAGTATGGACATTTTAGTCACTTTCTTAGCATAATTGCAAATTGCTTACCAGAATGAGGAGACCAATTCATAGCTCTATCTATAGTGCATTGATGTGCCTGTTTTTCCACAACCCCTCCATCATTGGCCTTTCCCATCTTTTATCATCTTTGCCAATTTGTTGGGTTTGAGGTGAAACCTCAAAGTTGTTTTGATATTCACTTCTTTCGTTTTTTTTTAAATCAATTTATTTTTAATTTTCAGCATTCACTTCCATAAGATTTTGAGTTCTAAATTTTCTTGTCCTCTCTCACAAAGACAGCATGCAATCTGATATAGGCTCTCTCTATACATTCATATTAAACATATTTTCACATTAGTCATGTTGTAAAGAGGAGTTAGAACCAATGGGAGGAACCATGAGAAAGAAGAAACAAAACAAAACAAAAAAGAGCAAATAGTATGTTTCGATCTGCATTCAGACTCCATAGTTCTTTTTCTGGATGTGGACAGCATTTTCCATCATGAGACTTTTGGAGTTGTCTTAGATCCTTGCATTGCTGAGAAGGGCTAAGTCTATCAAAGTCAGTTGTCGCACAATGTTGCTGTTACTGTGTACAATGTTCCCCTGGTTCTGCTCACTTCACTCAGCATCAGACCATACAAGTCTTTCCAGGTTTTTCTGAAGTCGGCCTGCTCAGCCATTCCCGATTTTATAGGCATCCTCTCAATTTCCAATTCTTGGCCACCACAAAAAGTGTCTTCTTTTGCTATTAGTGGTTTGGGGCATTCTTTGCCCTCCTTCACTTAAATCCAATTCACTTGCAAGTCATGGCATCATCTTCCTGATGTCATAGTCCTCTTCGAGAACAAAGGACAAATAACAACAAATGGTTATGGGTAGATTATTTCTTTTGATATCATAATTGTAAAGCATTTAGCACAGTGCCTCGCACATAACAAATGCTATATAAATGTTAGCTATTATTATTATTATTATTTTAAAAACTGTTCATATCATTTGATCCTTTATCAATGGGGAATGGTTTTGGTTTTTTATATTTGTTTCAGTTCTGTATAGATCTTGGATAGCTGATCCTAATCAGAGATATTTGATGCAAAGGTTTTTCCATAATTGACAGCTTTTCTTCATTTTCTAGTTGCGTTGTTGTTGTTGTTGTTTTTGGCTAGGCAATGGGGTTAAGTGACTTACCCAGGGTCACACAGCTAGTGTTATGTGTCTGAGGCCGAATTTGGACTCAGGTCCTCCTGAATCCAAGGCTGGTGCTCTATCCACTGTGCCACCAAGCTGCCCCCTTGCATTGTTTTTCTTGCAAAAACTTTTTGTTGTTGTTCGGTTGTTTTATTCACATCTGACTCTTTATGACCCATCTGGGGTTTTCCTGGGAAATGTGCTGGAGTGCTTTGCCATTTCCTTCTCCAGTCCATTTTACAGATGAGGAAACTGAGGCAAACAGGGTGAAATGACTTGCCCAGGGTCACACAGTTAGTAAGTGTCTGAGGGCAGATTTGTATTATGGTCTTCCTGACTCCACAAACAGAGCTCTATCCTCTGCACCACCTAGCTACCCCGCAAAACTTTTTAAATTTTACATAATCAAAATGATCTATCTTCAATCATTACTAATGTGCCATGTTTGGCTAAGAATTCTTCCACTAGGCTTAGTAGTACCAGATCTCAAACTATACTATAAAGCCATAATTGTCAAAACAATTTGTTAGTGAATAAGAAAAAGAGAGGTTGATCAGTGGAACAGATTAGATACACAACAGAGCAAACAAACATAGTAACTTATTGTCTGATACACCCGAAGATCACAGCTACTGGGGCAAGGACTCATTATATGACAAAATCTGTTGGGAAAATTAGAACGTAGATTGGCAGAAACAAGGTACAGACCAGCATTTCGTACAGGATTCCAAGATAAGCTACATATGAGTACATGATTTAGACATAAAGAGTGACATAATAAGCAAATTAGTAAAGCCTAGAAGAAATTACCTGTTAGATCTATGGATAGGGAAAGAGTGCACGAACAAACAAGAGACAGGGAAGTTTATAGGAGGCTAAATGGACAATTTGATTACATAAAGTTAAAAAATTTTGCACACATAAAGCTAAAATTAGAAGATAGTGAATGGGGGAAATCTTTGCAGGAGATTTCTCTGATACCCATTTCTAAGATGTATAGAGAACTGATTCAAATTTATAAGAATAAGAGCCATTCCCTGATTGATAAATGATCAAAGGATATGAATGGGCAGTTTTCAGAGGAAGAAATCCAAGCTTTCAGTAACCATATAAAAATACTCTAAATCTCTAATAATTAGAAATATGCAAATTAAATAACTCTGAGGTTTTACCTCATACTCATACATAAGATTGGCAAAGTCAACAAGAAGGGAAAATGCTAAATTCTGAAGGGGCTGTCAGAAAATAGGTACATTAATGCATTGTTGATGGAGTTGTGAACGGGTCCAGACATTCTGGAAAGCAATCTGGATCTATACTGAGTCAGTCAACAAACATTTATTAAGTACCTACTATGTGCCAGGCCACTGTGCTAAGCAATGGGGATACAAAAGCCCCTGCCCTCCAGGAGCTCACAGTCTAACGAGGATGACAACATGCAAACAATTATGTATAAACAAGTTATGAACAAGATAAATAGGAAATAATCAACAGAGGGAAGGTTTTAGAATTAAGAAGAGCTGGGAAAGCCTTCCTGTAGAAGATGGGATTTTAGTTGGAACTTAAAGGAAACCTGGAGGTAGAGATGTAGAGGGAGAGCATTCCAGGCATGGGGGACAGCCAGTGAAAATGAAGGTTATGAAGGGCCTTGCATGCCGAACAGAGCATTTTGTATTTGATCCTGGAGGCAACAGGGAGCCCCTGGAGTTAGTTGAGTCGGGATGGTGGTGGGGGAGTTACATGATCAGATTTGTGTTTTAGGAAAATCACTTTAGTGGCTGAATGGAGAATGGTCAGGAGTGGGGAGAGAGAGATATGAGGCAGGCAGACCCATCTGCAGTTATTACAGGTGTCCAGGTGTGAAGGGACTTGGTGCACCAAGTGAGGGGTAGTGTCAGAAGAGAGAAGGGGCCGTATTCAGAAGATATTGCGAAAGTGAAAGGCCCAAATTGTACATATCCTTTGCCCCAGTGATGCCATCATTTGATCCATATCCCAAAGACATCAAAGAAAAGGGAAAAGGACCTCTTTGTACAAACCTGTTCATAGCAGCTCTCTTTTTATGGTGGCAAAGAATTGGAAACTGAGGGGATGCTCATGAATTGAAATTACTGAACCAGTGATGGTATGGAATAATATTGCAATGTAAGAAATAATAAAGGAGGTGGTTTCAGAAAAACCTGGGAAGAATTATATGAATTGATGCAAAATGAAATGAGCAGAACCAGGAGGACAATAGCAGCAGTATTATGAATGCAAACAACTATAAAAAACTTGAGAACTCTGATCAACACAATGACCCATAAATCTGGAGGACTAAAGATAAAACCTGCTCCCCCCTCCAGACTGAGAAGTGATGGATGCCTGGTACAGATTGAGACATGTTTTTTGGGACATGGCCAGTGTGGGAATTTCTTTTGCTTGACTATACATGTTTGTAACTGGCATTTGTTTTTCTCACTTTCTCAACTGGGAAGGGAGGGAGAGAATGAGGATCTGGAAATAAAATCTGATTAAAAAAAAAAAAAAAAGGAATTCTCCCCATAGCCATAGTAGTGAAAGGTACTTCATCTGGCTCACTTCTTGTGTTTTTCTAGTGTGTCCTTGGGCTCCCGAGGCTGGAATTCTGAAGAACCCAGTTTGGGGGCTCATTGTTTCTTCTCTTCTTCCCCAGGTGGCCCCTCCCCAGCACCCCTGCACCCCAAACGTAGCCCCACGAGCACGGGAGAGACAGAGCTGAAGGAAGAGAGGCTACCAAGCCGCAAGACCAGCTGCAGCACGGCTGGGGGTGGGAGTCGAGGCCTGCCCCCGGCCAGCCCCATGGTCAGCAGTGCCCACAACCCCAACAAGGCTGAGATCCCAGAGCGGCGCAAAGATAGTTCAGGCACACCTGTGAGTGGAAGCCAGGGGATGCTCAGGGCAAAGGGCAGGCCTGGTCTTTCCCATCTGTCCTTGTCTCTCCCCTGAGCACCAGACTGGAAAGTGGAAGGCTTGGCTTGGAATCTTGGCTCTGGCACTTAACCTTGAGCAAACAAACTTCTTTGCCTTTCCGAGCCTCAGTTTTCCCCATCTGTAAAATGGGACTGATACTAACTCATAGGACTTACCTCACTCTGAAGATCAAGTGAGTCATAAAGGTGAACCACTTTTTACATAGCTTCCTAGCTATGTGACTGTGAGCAAGTGACTTTCCCTCTCTTAGCCTCAGTTTCCTTCTTTGTTAAAGAGGGATGATAAGTCTTGTCAGACCTCTTATTTTGCTGATGATGAAACTCAGGCTCAGAGAGGGTAAATGACTTGCCCAGAGTCACACAACAATTGAGTAACTGAGTCAGAATTCAGAACTGACTGTGCTTTCCTGGATGTTAGAGGGTGGCTGGGCAGGAGGGCCCAGGCCAGGAAATCTTTCCTGTCCTGTCTTAATCCTTTTCCCTCTCCCCAATCTCTTCACTAGAATAACCTCCCCCCAAGTGTGATGACACGCCGGAACACATATGTGTGTACAGAGCGCCCGGGGTCTGAGCGCCATTCTCTGCTGCCTAACGGGAAAGAGAACAGGTACAAGGGCCAGGGCACTGGGGGACCGGCCCAGGGCAAAGCTTGGGCCAGTCACTGGGACTTTGCCCAGCAATGGCACCAGGGCATCCCAGGGAAATCTTTCAACCGTTCTAATCATGCTCTGCCACTGGGGGGTTCTGCTAGGGGGTCATCTTTGCCCTATCTCCATTTTCAGCAAATAAATGGTAGAATGTCAGTTATCAGAACTGGGAGGGCCCTTAGAACAGGGAAAGTCAGAGCTGGGAGGGACCTTAGAATGGATAATACCGGAGCTGGAAGGTGCCTTAAAGACCATTAAGTCCAGCACCTGCCCCCAGCACACACACACACACACACACACACACACACACACACGCACACACGCACACACGCACACACACACAGTTTTGCAGATGGGAAGATGAGAACTTAGGGGGCCCCAGTCCTTACTTCCCAGAGGTCCCAGTGCCTGTAGCTTTCAGCCCCAGTGGGCCCAGGCTCATCTGATTCAGTCCTTCAGGGTAACAGTGACCTTCCAAGGACGCCATCAGTTCTGGGGAGGGCTTGATGCAGAGCTCTGATGGCCATCTCTGTTTCCTCCAGCTCTGGCCCTCCTCGAGTTCCCCCAGCTTCCCCCTCGAGCCATAGCTTGGCACCCCCGGGGGGTGAGAGAAGCCGTCTGGCCCGGGGCTCCACCATCCGAAGTACCTTCCATGGTGGGCAGGTGCGGGACCGACGGGCAGGGGGGGGAAGTGGGGTCCAGAATGGGCCACCTGCCTCACCCACCCTGGCCCATGAGGCCACGCCTCTGCCCACTGGGCGTCCTCGACCCACGGCCAACCTCTTCAGCAAGCTCACCTCCAAACTGACCCGCAGGTATGGTCACTGGGCCCGAGGAGGGGGTCATTGGGGGCTGGGGAGTTGGGCAGACTATCCCAAGCCCAGGCTGCTAACCTCCTCCTCTCTCCTCTCTCCTCTTCCTTCAACCAAAACAACTATTTCTCCGTCCTCTTGTTTCTCCTCTCTCCGTTTGCTACTTGCTCGATCCCGCTGCAGGGTCACCCTCGACCCCTCTAAACGGCAGAACTCTAACCGCTGTGTGTCTGGGGCGTCTCTGCCCCAGGGATCCAAGATCAGTAAGTTGGGGCCCGCCCCCTTCTCTTTCACTGTCTCCGTGATCCTGCCTGCCTGCCTGCCTGTCCAACCTGACTCCCTCTTCCTTCCAGCTCACCCCTTTCTCCAGCCTGCCTGTCTCAGTGACTGTGCTGTCTTTGTTCATTCTGCCTGGCCCCTCTTTATCTGCTGGCTATCTGTCCCTCTCTGGCTGGTGGAGAGTGTGTGTGTGTGTGTGTGTGTGTGTGTGTGTGTGTGTGTGTGTGTG